AAATCGCGTGAGGTATGCCCATAGCCTTAGTGATTGCACGATTTTTGAAGCAGTGGAGGCCGGGATTTGGAAATCACATTCAGGTTAGAGAGAACAGTAAACCAAGAGGACACAAAGACGATTGCACAAAACGAACAGAAGAGCTTTTTCTGGAATTTGTACCAATGCACATTAGAAGCGCATGATCACAGAAGGCGATTATGAAAATGTAAAATTTTATGGCATGAACGGCCGTCATATAATCTGTCTGAGGCACACGCCATACTTGATCCCCCTCGCTATTGGTCGCCTTGCTGATTCAACCAATAGCGAAGTGGAGTGGAAGAAGTGGATCAAGTAGCTCACTACGACGCTTGCCTGAGTTTTCGGATCTTCCTTTCTTTTCGATCCCCTCCCCCCATTTGCTCATGACTTGTTGATTTTCAATCTAAACATTCCGTCGTCGACAAGTGATGCCTCTGTTGTAGATGTGAGAAGAGAAACTTGTAGCAGAAAATACTTTTCTTTCTTCATCAAAGAGATGATGCAATATACAAGTACTTAATTTTCACATCACATGAACTGATCTGACTAAGAAATCGAATTCTATTTTAGATATAAAACTAATAAGATCTCTATACAAACGAATCTATAATCAATACTAGTAGCATAACAGTGGAATGAAGATTTCCACCGGTACTAATTAGCAGTCGTAAATCGTCGCGAAAATGAAAGTGATACATAACAGATCAGAGAAGACGATTAGAGTGCTCAAGTGACGTCTTCATATTCAAAGATCCATAATATAAATCTTATGTAGAGCCCTACTTGACTGCTACAGTTTCAGGAGCTTCTACATCGAGTTGTTTCCCTAAGTATTCCCAGTTATGCACCATGAGTTTCTGAACAGCGAGCAATGCATGGTAGCGGACATTGGGGTCCTCTGCAGTTAGGAGTCGCATCACTGCCTGCTTTCCTTGGTACTGTTCAATCACACTAAAACCGAAGTTGAAATGAAGAAACAAAATATCCAGAGTAAAAGGAACAGAACGAAAAACTTACGTCTTTCCTCTAGGATAGTGTCTCACGTACTCTCCAACATCGTGAGCTGCTACGCAAAGAATCAGAGGATCTTGACTGGTTTCCAAAAGCCGTATCAATATCCTGAAATGCTTCTCGATAACTTCGGCCATTAGAAGGACGGATATTACTTAATGAGCTCGAAATTCTTCTCGTTGAATCGAGGAGCGTTTTCTCTCCAGAATTTGTCTGATTTGTGCACTGGAGACCACTGCAGTCGACCAGAGCGAACCTGACAATCGAAACGAATCACTTAGAGGACCACGCAGATCGTGCTTTTGTACGGCTATCTTTTCAAGACACAGGGATTCGAGATACAGAGAGGCACATTTTGCATTTCTTCCTCCGTACAATTTTTGCCTAACTTTCATAACTCAAACATGAACACTGACCTCACTACAGTATTCATCAAAGGAACTCAGATCCTGAACAGACAGCTGAAGCTGAGAACTCAAGAACTCGACATCTTCCTAAAAACGAGGCAATAAAGCAAATCGTATGGATACAAAATAAGAGAAGTTGAAAGCAACTACGAATATATTTCAATGTAAAAAAAGATCTACCCCCATTCTTCTGCTCAGAAAAACAATAGCTCTTCAACAGATTTTCACTACAAAGTTAGCGCAAGCAGTAAGTGTCTTACCTCAAGCTCAGTGTCACCATACTTTTTGGCGTCTGTAAGTTCAAGTGTTTTAAGAGTTTTGCACTGGACCATTTGCAAAGCTGCTTCTTTTTTTATATCTTTCTCTTCCACTTTTTTTAGAATGTTGCTGAACGTTGCTATGATGATACGTATAACCTGAAAACGATAAGGCCATCCCAAAATTCAACCAAATGGAGTGAAAGAGCATACTTTTTCCTTCGACGATTCAGAAAGAATATCTCCTAGGGCTTGAATTACGCCAAGTGAAGGTGTGCGGCGAGCAATTTCAGGATTGAAGGTGAGACACCATAGAGCAAAAGCTAGTTGGTACTGGAGCTGGAAGTTAGTTTTTCCATTCAGTGCGGCAACAATAGCCTGTACTCCCTCCGATTCTGTGAAAGCCAGTCTAAAAAAGACAAAACACATAGAGGAAGCTGAAACCCTTCACATGCCAAAAAAAAATCAGCGCTCAATCCACACATATTGGAGGCATATCACATAGAGAGGCTAATGGTTTTTTTGTAAAA